AGGCTTGGGAACCAAGCCTGGGCTTTAAGCTTGGGCTTGGGCTTTAAGTTAATTAGAACTCACGACTATGATAAAAATTAATCTTTAGCCAGCCATAAAACAGAAAATATCATTTCATTCTCACATGAGATGGTGAAAGGAGAAAAGAACATTTTTGTGCCCTACTGGCAGAGGTGCCCAGACAAATATTTAGCTCCAAAAGTAATGATCCATGCAAACCACAGAAATTCATGGAAATGGATACAAGGAGAATGGCCTGTGTGCCCAAAGGCTGTCTGGTTTTTCTACTTTTACAGTTGCTCTAACAAAAAATAGTAATTCTGCTTTCAAGCCTTACCTGACCTGAAGGCCATATCTGCCCACATGGAAGACACAAAGGTGATCAGGAATAGTCAGCATAGGTTCACTAAAGGTAAGTCATGTTTGATCAACGTGATTGCCTTCTATGACAAAACAACTGCTTGGATGGATGAAGGGAGAGCAGTGGACATTGTCTACCTTGACTTCAGCGAGGCTTTTGATACTGTGTCCCACAGCATCCTCATCAGAAAACTTAAGAAGTGTGGGTTGGATGAGAGGACAATAAAGTGGATTGAGAACTGGCTTAGGAGCAGATCCTGGGGAATTGTGAACAGTGACACAGTCTAGTTGGAGGCCCTAGGATTCCATGCTGGGCCCAGTTTTGTTCAACTTATTCATCAGTGACTTGGACAAAAGGACAGAGTGTCTTCAGCAAGTTTGCTGATGATACAAAACTGGAAGGAGTGGCTGATACCTCAGAGGGTATACCCCCCTTTGGAGGGACCTCGACAGGTTGGAGAGATTAGCAAAGCAGAACCACCTGAAATTCAACAAGGGCAATTGCAGGGTCCTGCACCTGAGGAGGAATAACCCCAAGCACCAGTACAGGTTGGGCACACACATGCTGGAGAACAGCTCTGCGGAGAATGACCTGGGGGTCTGGGTGGACAAAAGGCTGTTGAGAGCCAGCAATGTGCCCTTGTGGCTAAGAAGGGTAATGGAACTCTGAGATGCATTAAAAAGACTATTGCCAGCAGGTCAAGGGAGGTGATCCTGCCTCTCTACGTAGCTCTGGTGAGGCCACACATGGAGTATTGTGTCCAGTTCTGGGCTCCTCAGGACAAGAGGGACATGGAGCTCCTGAAGCGGATCCAGCAGAGGATAACTAAGATGATTAAGGGACTGGAGCACCTCACTTATGAGGAAGAGCTGAGGGAGTTGGGCCTGTTCAATCTCAAGAAGAGACAATTGAGAGGTGACCTCACTAACATATTCAAGTATATGAATGGGAACTGCCAAGAGGATGGAGCCAAACTCTTTTTGGTCATGAAAACCAATAAAACAAGAGGTAATAGGCAAGAACTGCTGCACAGGAAGTTCCACCTGAATACAAGGAAGAACTTCTTTACTGTGTGAATCACTGAACACTAGAACAGATTGCCCAGAGTGGTCGTGGATTCTCCCTCACTGGAGGTATTCAAGAACCATCTGGATGCAATCCTGAGCCATGTGCTCTAGGGTGGCCCTGCCTGAGTAGGGAGGTTGGACCAGATGAGCCACTGTGGTCCTTTCCAACCTAACCAATTCTGTGACCTACGTCCTTAAGCTAATACAGTGACACCACTATCACTGTAGTGGTGGTAGTTTCAGGGGACTTTTCTCAGAAACAGGGAAAAGAAACAGGCTGGATAAGCCTCCTGTGCTTCAGGGCACCTAGGCTTCCAGCGGGTACAACCTCAAGGTAGTTTGCCATGTGCCAAGCAGGAAGCCCAGACTATCCCAGAAGCTCCCATTGCCTGTGCTCCCTGCTCAGCAGACCATACTGATACTCCTGCTGCCTGTGCACATCCTCCAGCTCCCAAGCCAGGGACCCCCCACAGCCAAGGAAGCTGACCAAGGCATCTGACAGAAAAAAATCGACTCCAGTGTTCCCATGCCTTATACAGATTTTCCTGTTAGTGTAGCTTCTGGGGGGGAAAAAAAGTGGCATGCAGTGACCCTCAGAAACTGAGCTTCTGAGAGCAGGCTTTAGGCAGTGCTCTGGAAGAGGTAGCCAGTTTTGAGGTCTCTTTCCCCAGGCAGCCAACAGCACACAGGAAATCAGCTGTCTGCATACACTCTGTAGCACCCACAGAAATCAAACAGCTTCTGAGAAAAAGACTTGAAAACACATGAAGCACCTCCAGGGCAATACTACCTGGGATTCTAAGTTGAGCTGCTCTCTGTAAGTTCATATTCCATACAAAATCAGATACAATCCAATTTTGATGACCCCTGCTATCATTTTGACAGTTAATCAGTCTCTGTTGGGCAGCCTTTTGGCATTATGGCCCTTTGAGGTTTTGCAGAATAAGTAAATAAATAAATAAATATCCTTCCAGAGAAATGTTTCCTTCTTCCTCCCCTACAAATTGCCCTGACCTCAGGAACAGAGTGAACAATGCTGTTCAGCCCTGGAACAGTGACAGATGAAGGGCCAGCCACTCAAGGGCTAGAAATTGACTGCCTGGTCTGTCAGGAAACAGGAGATTCTCCCAACTCTTTAATTTAATAATAGTATTTGCTTCCTGACTTGGAGGATTATGACCTTAAAAATCAAGATGCTCTTACGTATGGAAAATCTATTGCAGGTGATTTAAAAATTATTCTCAATGTTAACTAGTTATTTCCCTCCTGTAAAAGGAGAGCCACACAAGGGAATCCCTTGCACTCACACAACAACTCTAGCATTTGCAGAAAGAGAGATGTGAAAAAGAGTGCCAGCAAGAGTTTTAAAGGAATATTTTCTGAAGTGACAAAATCACCTTTCTATAGGTCATGAAGTATTTAGAGAGAACAGGTGAAATTCTGGCATAAAATATTTTCTGGCATTTATTTGAGACAACCTGGTCAGATCACCTCTGGTTTCATTATGCATGTGGGAGCAATGTTATCCACCTGTAACTCTGACACCTACCCAATACCTGCACCTGAACATAGGGATTTGCATGGTTAAGTATCTGGATATCTAAGCTGATTTTAGCTGTTTCCCATTTCTACCAGTACTGATGTCTGCCATGGTGCTGGTGCCCTTATTGTTTCCCGATTCTACTTCTTCCTAAAAAAACAGGTGAACTGGGCTTGGTGTCTCTTCTCCTGCAAACAGGGTAAAATCCTTGCTCTACTGAAAGTCATTCCAGGGTTTCTATTGTTTTAAATGGTGGCGGGATTTCATCAGATATATTTCTTTGCAGGTGTGTCAACATGGAATTTTAATCAGACTTTTAATGAGTTCTCCCTCTGCTCTTTTCTACTCTTCACCTCAGGGTAATATATGGCATGGAACAGACAAAGAACTGTTCAGCCTGTAATTATAAGAATAAAAAAAATGTTTAGTAATTTCTTTCAAAGGCGTAAACAGAGTAATGAAGTCCAATAGACACACAATGCTATTTGTTGGAACACGCATGACCTATTGTAAAAAAGTACATAGGGCTGGTCCAAATACATCCTTGCTGTCATTTTAGGCAGGAAGTGAAATCAAGCCAGGGACAAACCTAATGTAATGATGCTGAACAGCATCCTGAAATCTCTCTTCTGCCTTCCCTCATGAAAGACAAAAGAGTCATGAAACTGATGCAACAGAGCAGCAGTCTTGACTCTCTCCACTTCATCTTCACAAACCCTTTCCTCTATTTAAATTTTGGCTTTTTCTACAGTCACAGTTTCTTTACCACCTCTGTGCCCTTCCTTTTCTTCATTGCAATTAACATTCCCCTAGATTTATTTTCACAGGGTCCAGAAAATCCCCCCACTGACAAACTATCTCCTTCTCACCCACCAAAGTACTGCCTTTTTCATCTTCTTTTCTCCAGCTTTTGCAGAAACTGCCTCTGAATACACTTTGCCATTCTTTTTCTGTAGCACAGACTATCTGCACTAAATTAGAAGAAAAACCCTGAAGCCTTTATCATATAAAAAGCTGAATATAAGTTAAGCAGAAGCAACCCCAACCAAAGGTTTCAAGCAGGAGTTGCAACACCATTCCACTTTATTTGGTAATTTTTCTCTTCAGTTTTAAGAGGAAAATTAACTGTTACCCATTTTCTCACTAATATGATTATTCCTGTTCTTCCAAGCAATCATATTCAATTCTAATATTACAACGAGGTAGAAATGGAAGTGAAATAGTGTTCTAGATATAATTGTGATTATCCAAAATTGATAATGAATTAGATAAATTTGAAATGTCACTTTGCAGAAAGCATAACTTTCTATTTGTCCAGATTTTCAGAAAATAAATTATCTAGGCAGTAAGACAGATACGAGCTAAACTGCAACATTTGAATTTTTCAAGTTTTGAAATCAAGTCTTGTGTTTGAGACTCATGCCTACTACAGAACAATTCTGTGATTTTTTGGAAGATGAAGAATTATCAGTGATTTTTTCATATCTCAGCTTTTAGATAACCGGCTTGAACATACATGAATCCTCAT